TTCTTTCTTTCTTTCTTTCTTTCTTTCTTTCTTTCTTTCTTTCTTTCCTTCTTTCTTTCTTTCTCTTTTAAAGATTTATTTATTTATTGTGTATACAGTATTCTGCCTACATGCATGCCTGCAGGTCAGAAGAAGGCACCAGATCTCATTACCGATGGTTGTGAGCCACCACGTGGTTGCTGGGAACTGAACTCAGGACCTGTAGACTAGCAGGCGGTGCTCTTAATCACTGAGCCATCTCTCCAGCCCACTTTTCTGTTTTTTTGAGACAGGGTTTCTCTGTGTAGTCCTGGCTGTCCTGGAACTCACTCTGCAGACCAGGCGTTGAACTCACAGAGATCCACCTGCCTCTGCCTCCTGGGTGCTGAGATTAAAGGTGTGTGCCACTACCGCCAGACTGAAATTACTTTCTTAATGACAGTCTGACATCTATACAGTTTTACAAATCCTATGGTTCTTTTGATTTTCACATTGAATAGAAACCTGAGAGTAGCTTAGAGGTCTGTTTGCCCGAACTCGAACCCTAGTTCTACCTTTTTTTCTAATGTTCTCTCGGGAAGGTTACTTGACCCATTTATTTATTTATTGAGTGTGTGTGTCTGAGTCACAGCACAAGTTTTGGGGTAAGAAGACAACTTGTAGATGTTGGTTCTCTTCTACCATGTGGGTTCTCAGCATCAAACTCTGGTTCTCAAGTTTGGGAGGCAAGTGCCTTTACCCACTGAGTCAATTTCCTGACCTAGGTTATTTAACCTTTTTAGATATGTTTTTCCATTTGAAAAATGCTGTAACTATAGTCTTGTCCTTAAAGGATTTTCATAAGATTTAAAGGTGATAGTGTTTACAAAATTCCTACTGTAATCCCTAACATACTCACTAAACTATGTTTTAGAAGAAGGGGTTTCTTAGTGTTTGGTTGGTATTTTCCTCAGCTTTCCTGCACTGCTCTGCATGTATTCTGATTTATACTGTTCTTTCTGTTGCTTAGATTTTGAGTGAAAGAAGGCTGCGCTTGCTTAGAAACACTATAAAATTTTAGGTTGGGGTTTTAATTCCCTACTGTCAGGGACTCTGCCCCCTCCGATCCCTAACCTCCACAGCTGGTGTCATATATCTTTGATTCTAGTGGGTTCTTAATAAATACTTGCTTAGTAAAATAGTTAATAACTATTACCCAGAAATTACATAACTAGATGATTCAGACTACTTAGTATTTTGAGATATTTTGAGATAGGTTCAGAATTTCTTGGTATGCACCCAGTGTTACCTTCATCCAGATGATGAAGATGATGGTCTATGACAGTGCTTCTCCATCTTCCTGATAATGCAACCTTTAATACAGTTCCTCATGTTGTGACCCCAATCATAAAATTATTTTTGTTGCTACTTCATAACTGTAATTTTGTACAGTTATGAATTGTAATGTAAATATCAGTTATGCAGGATATCTGATATGTGACCCCTGTGAAAGCAATTCAGCACCCACCCCCCAGGTTGTGACCCCCAGGTTGAGAACTGTTGCTCTAGGGTAAGCAAGGATGGGTTTGCTGTTCCAGGAGCCTGTGACGTTCAGGGATGTGGCCGTGTTCTTCAGCCAGGATGAGTGGTTGCGTCTGGACTCTGCACAGAGAAGCCTGTACCGGGAGGTGATGCTGGAGAACTATGGCAACCTGGCCTCCCTGGGTAAGGGGTTTGCATCTTGCTCCCAGTTTTCTGCCACAGGCCAGTGACTACATCCCAGTTTAGAGTCTGAAATTCATCTAAGACATTTAGATGTTATTGGAAACTGTACAAGCATATCCTGTCTCAGAGAAGTTCATTTCCAGAACCATGTAGTAATTTTGAATTGGCCCTTGCTTGTTGCCCCATGCCCTAATCTTCATTGCCCTTGGGAAGTGATTACACTGTGTGTCTCACCTTCCAAGACTGACCTTCCCTGCTGTTGAGTGGTATCTGAAGAGTCTCTGAGATTGCTCTTCAGGCCATTCATCCCAATTCTGTTCCCTTTCTCATGAGCAGGGATCCAGCTTTCAATACCTTGGGTGATTGGCAAACTGCAAAAAGGACAAGATCCCTGCATAGCCAGAAAAGATCGTGAAGACACCTGCCGAGGTGAGTGAGCCACTGGGAAATGGAGACACAGGGATCTGCATGAGTATGTCATGAAAGGGCAGTGCAACAGTGGCATTTTGTAAGTACTGAGCCCTAGTGTGGTGTTTAGGGCCTATTGGTTTTAAACATATGGCTTGTTGACATGCAGCCATCTAAATGCAATGATGTAACATTAATCCATTTTCAGTATGGATTGAGTAAAGAACGATGAATTTTAGTTCAGAGTTCTTAACATGAACTTAAACTAAATCTTTTCACCTAGAGTCAGAGCTGAACTTGAGGTTGCCCTCAAGTGGCATACTCAGACCTTCAGGATAAACTGACTTCACAAAACTCACAGATTTTCATTATTCTCATAAGAGTCCTACAAAGAGATTATAGTCTTCTGGCTCCAATTATAGAAGAAATGAAACTGTTGCAATTTCTAATATCCAAATACCATCTTTTTGGCAGAGTTCTTTTCCCTCTCTCAGGCTGTGATGAATGTACAGTTGAATATAAAGTCACAATTTTAAGAAAAACAGCCCAAACATTTTTAAATTATTAACTGTTTCAGAGGTAGTATGGGGGAAGAAATGCAATAATGCAAGTGACGTGTGAGTAGAAGAAAGTAAAGGGAGCTACCTGCCTGCCTCCTGTGTTTGCAGAGGAGGAAGTGAGGAAAGCCTGAGGAGTAAATTCCATGGTTGCTTACTTCAGCCTGTCACTTCACATTGGTCCATATCCTTCTCTGTTCTGTTGTGTCTTTCCCTGTCTCTAGAACTGCATTGATTGGTCCAGTTTATTCTCCTACCCTGCTTCTTAACCGTACATTTAGTTCTTGCCATCCTATTTTCCCTCCAGTTTCAAGTCCATGTTTGGCGTCAGGATGCAGCAAACCTCCTTTATGTGTGTTGCTGCCAATCTCATTGGCCTTCTCATGCATCTGTGTCTCTCTTCCAGCAAAGGAAGAATTAATTCTTCCAATTCTTTTCAGATTTCCAGATTTGGCCAGAGTTAGAAACATTGCTTCCCAAACGAGATATTTTTATTGAAGAAGCATCTCATGGACTAATAAACCATGACTCCACTGAGAGTGCTCACTGGAAAACCAACTTTGGAAAAGTTGTGAAATCTGAGAGCCTAACAACACAGGAGCAAGAAAAGAAAGTTCATGAGCAGGGGGCAGCATCACCCAAGGAAACTGTCAGTGAAGATGGAAATCCCACAGACCCTGAGCTGGGGAAACCCTTGCTTACAGATAAAGCGCTTGTCTCACAAGAGAGTGACTCCCTAGAAAGGGAACCTGATATGTATCACACTTTAGAGAAGGATTTACCACAGGATTTTGATTTAATGAGAAGCTTCCAGATTTACCCAGGACAAAAACCTTATGCCTGCAGTGAATGTGGGAAGAGGTTTACCCAGAGTCTTCATCTTCTTGAGCACAAGAGGCTTCACACTGGGGAGAAACCTTACAAGTGTAGTGAGTGTGGGAAAAACTTCAGTCATAGATCTTCCCTCCTGGCTCACCAGCGAACCCACACTGGAGAGAAGCCATACAAGTGTAGTGAGTGTGAGAAAGCATTCGGCAGCAGTTCCACACTCATTAAACACTTGAGGGTGCACACTGGAGAGAAACCTTACCGTTGCCGGGAATGTGGGAAGGCCTTCAGCCAGTGTTCAACCCTCACTGTGCACCAGAGGATTCACACCGGGGAGAAGCTCTACAAATGTGCCGAGTGTGACAAGGCCTTTAATTGCAGAGCAAAGCTTCATAGACATCAGAGAATCCACACAGGGGAAAAACCCTATAAATGTGCTGAGTGTGGGAAAGGCTACAGTCAGTTCCCATCCCTAGCTGAACATCAGAGACTCCATACTGGAGAAGAGCTTTGCCAGTGCTTACAGTGTGGGAGAACCTTTACACGCGTCTCCACCCTTATTGAACATCAGAGAATTCATACTGGACAGAAACCATATCAGTGCAATGAATGTGGGAAGACCTTCAACCAGTATTCATCCTTCAATGAGCATCGCAAGATCCATACTGGGGAGAAGCTATACACATGTGAAGAATGTGGGAAAGCCTTTGGCTGTAAGTCCAACCTTTATCGACATCAGAGGATCCATACTGGAGAGAAGCCCTATCAGTGTAATCAGTGTGGAAAGGCCTTCAGCCAGTATTCGTTCCTCACTGAACACGAGCGTATCCATACTGGAGAGAAGCTCTACAAGTGCATGGAATGTGGGAAAGCCTATAGTTATAGGTCAAACCTCTGTAGACACAAAAAAGTCCACCTGAAAGAAAGGCTCTACAAATGGAAGGAATACGGGACACCTTTTATCTATGGCTCATCCCTCACTCCATATCAGAAATTTCTGAGAGGAGACAAGCCTGAAAATTTTAATTCATCCCTCTAATCCAAGACAGCAACCAGAAGAGTAGTAACTAGAGTACAAATCAAAATGGATTTCATCTTTTTTACTTCTACAACAAATAATTACTACTAAGTCATGGACAATTGAACAGTAAAATACAAAGGATGCTGGTGTCAAACATTTAAGAACTACTACAAAAAGATTTTTAAATCTGTCATTTTTTTAAATTCATAGAAAAAGTTTGAAAGGCCTCATTTAAAAACAAGACACATGAGTAAGTTGCTTATGTATAAGCATTGTTTCATGAGATAGTCATCTCTTTTTAAGAACTTCCATGTATGAATTTTCTTTTCAAGATAGTCTCTGAAATAGTTGGTAATGTGAATAATTACGGGGCCTTAGTCCCTAAAGTGGTGAGCTGGTATAGGGAGACCTCCTTTTCATAAAGAACCATTACAGAGGAAAAGAATAATTGTTGTGTATAAAGCTTTTATGAAGTGCCCCTTATACAACATTTGTGTGTATGTGTATGTATGCATATCTATTCATATATACACATACATGACTTTTATCTGTATATGGTCATGTCACTTAACTGGGGATACAGTTTGAAAGTGCTTCATAGGCAGTTTCATATTTATAGGAACATCATTGCACTTGCACAACCCTAGAGGGTCTGGGTCAGCCAATCAGTGTGCTCTCTTAAGGTGATAAACATACCATACTTTTAAAAGATGTTTTTTTAAGATTTTAATTTAATTACAACATTTCTCCTTTCCCTTTCTCCCTCCAAACCCTCTTAATTCCTCCCTACTCTCCTTCAAATTTATGGCCTCTTTTTTTTACTTAATTGTTATGCATGCATGTATCCATGTTTTTTATAGTATTTTTTATTGGTTTATTTTAGATAGGGTCTCACTATGTAGCCTAGGATGGCCTTGAGCTCATTATGTAGCCCAGATGGGCTTTGAATTTGCAGTTTTTAGGGATTACAGTCATGAGCCATCATGCTTAGTGTAAATGTTATTAGTAGGATATGTATAAAAGTATAGTATAGCAAACGAGTAAACTAGTAATGTAGTTTGTCACCATCATCATGTGTCATGTACTGTACATAGTTGTATGTGCTGCGATGTCATCTGGCTGCCAGCAAAGCGGGTTTGTTTGCACAAGTGAGTATTACATTGTGCCTAAGGTGTTATAATGGTTATAAGGTCATGGCAGCTCTGATGTCATTAGGCAAGTGGGAATTTTCCAGGCCAGTTATAGTCTGATGAGACCACTGTGATATATGTTGTCTATCATTGACCAAAGCATCATCATAGGCAAATGACTGCATGTATATACTCACATATGCATGTGTTCATGTGTATGCTAATGTATATACATATACACACAAAGAGTTTAGGAATTTTTTTCTCCATAGTCTGTAATGATTAAAAATAATCAGTTTACTAATTTAGAATTTACTTTTTCAAATTAAATGTTTCTCCCAAGGGGAACTTTCTTTTGCTCTCCTGTATTTGTAGTGGATCTGGCTCTGTATAGCTGAATAGAGGCTTAGTACTATAGAAGTTGGCCTGAGCAGACACAGGGGGGAGACTGACATCCAAACAGTATATTATGTATTGTAGAGGCCAATGCTGACAGAGTCTCTTGCTATGAATCTGTTAGCACTTTAGGACCAGGAGGGATTTTAATTTATAGCCTTTCAAGAACCGAGGTCTTCATCTCTGATAATCTATGATACTTACAGGTTCATTTCTATCCTCAAGGCTCGAGAAGACTGTTTGTTTTGTAACCTGTTCAAATGTTATTGCTAGTGATGTAATCATTTATCTTTAGAGTTTCCTCTAGCTTTGATCTTAGTAGTGGAGTTGAGAACATACCTCCTTTTCTTCTGTCTCTGATTATACCTGCTTCTATAATAACTACTTAAATTCTGAAAGCAAACAAAGGTCCAGAAGGAGGTATTGCTTTGGTATGCTTCTATGTAAGGCTGTCTTTTTATTATACAACTTCTAATACTTTTTTCTTTGTAGTGCTGACGACTGAATCCAGGGCTTTATACATGCTCAGAAGGTGCTCTATCACTGAGCTGTATCTCCAGCCCTTAGGATTTAAGTATAAAGTTATAGATGAATATTTTATGTTAAACAATCTACTCATCACTTTAATATTTTATATCTCCCCTAGTCTAGTTCCTTACTGCATTGGTTTGTCATTTTAGAAATTGCCCTAAGAGCATTAATTAGACCCTCTGTCTGAGGAAAGAATTAGAATTAAGCAGGCATTAGCATATGTTTCTTGATTGACTTCTTTTGGCTCATCAGAGTAGTTTTATGTCTTTAAGTGTGTTTGTAAGAAAAATAAGGCTCCAGATGAACCTTGGAATTTCTTCCGTTCCCTAGTGGCCATGAGCATGCTCAGTGCCCACTTTTTGATTTGCAAATGCCATTCACCATCAAAAGGATTCAAGAGTCCTTGAAGAAATGGCTGGTTGCATGTTTGGTACAAGGAGAATATAAATGCACCTATAGTATTTCCTTATAACAAAGCATCATTTTAGAATTACTGACTTGAAGATGCATCCTTTGGTCAAACTTAGGATGCTTCAAACATAAAAAAAAAAAACAACCCAGAATTGGATGTAATATTTTCAAAAGGCTATGGAAAAAAAACTTCATAAAATTATTTGAGGAAATCCATCTTTTAAACTATATTCAAAACCAGTAAGCTTAGAAAAGTCATTTAACAATTATTATTGTCATTAAATCTGGCAAAAAAAAGATTGATTGTAAAACCTACCTACTACATGAAAAAAATTTAAGGAACATTGCTGAACCACAAAAGAAGATCCTTTATTGATCTGTGCAGAAGAAGCACCTGCTTTCATATTGAGCTCTGGCAGGCAGAGTTCCCCTTCATGTGGGCAGCTACCATTGTGGCTTCTGCCAAGGCTATAGAAGCACACTGTTATTTGTGATACACTGCCAAAACCAGTTAGTAGAAATCTCTTTATCTACACTTACCTTCCTGTTTACAGAGAATTGAGAGTAACAAGTTGGAGTATATAGTCATAGAACTAGAGTTTGAGACATTGGAAATGATCATTGAGCTGCTCTTTTCAAATAGACAGTATGTTAGAACAAAAGTGGGCTTTTTTTTTTCCCCAAGACACCCAAGACAGCCACATACAAAGTGTGATCCTTTTTGAGAAATGTAGTCAGGAAAAAAAAACTGTAAAAGACATTTGGGGGATAGTTAGGAAAATACAAAAATGAAAATAGGTATTAGATAATGTGGTATGCTTATTTTTCTTAGAATAGGAAAGATTTTATGTTTCCCTATCATGCATGCAAAAGTTTCAAGTTGTCAAGTCATCCTATCTGCGGGATATTTTAAATTGAAAGTGTAGAATTGATCAATGATTGTTGAATCTTCGTGGTGGATATAGAGTTTCTCATCACCCTTTAAACTTGTCTGTATGTGTGCTTAAATTTAATAAAAATTGAGGCAAAAAATGATTTATAAAGTGATAAATGTGAAGTTTCTGTTCCGAATCCTTTCCTGTGCTCAGAGAAACACAGGTTTGATAGTTCATCTTCCATGAGTATGTTTGTAACCTGTCGAGATGGTGAATTTGGCTTCCCTTTAAATGACGTAAGCACACCCTACCATCTCTCTCACTACATACAACTGATAACTAGGCCAGCTCTTCAGATGCCCTCAGAAATAATGGCAGTGGATTAGAGAAGGAAACGCATTGAAACAGAAATCTGGCATTCTGGGCATTTCTGTGGAACATAGCAGGAGCTGAGCAGGCCAGTCACATCTTTGTGCTCTGACCCCTCTCTCTGACCAACGGTGGTCAGCAAGGTCTTCACCAGTTTATTTCCACTGTTTCTTTCTACTAGTGCTTGATGTGGATGTGACGTGAGGCAGAGAAAAGAACCTAAAACCTTGGATTTATAGTCAGGAGATCGGGGGACCAGAGACTCTTGGGATAGAATGTCAGAAAAAGGAAGCTTAACAAAGAGATCTATAGATTTGTCCATAAAGTCTTGGTGGTCACCATGATCTCTGTATACGTTGGTCTCCAGGTATGTAGTCCATTTGTATTAGGGTTTTCCAGAAGCACAGAACCAACAGAGTCGGGTCTATATTCAAAGGGAATCATTAGACTGGCTTACATGATATCAGAATTGGAGTAGTCCAGCAATAACAGTCTCACACCAGAGAGGCTGAGAACACAGCAGTCCCATGAAACTGAGTGCCTCCACCTCCCCACCCAAGCACCAAAGGTCTAGAGGATTACTGGAGAGCCACTGGTCTTTGGTCCTCATTGGAGAATCTCAGATGCTTTCAAGCTAGCTAAGCTAGACTTACTTATACAGCAGCATCAAATGAGATGTCTCAAACAAGATGGAAGGTGGGGACGGATACCTGAGGTTGCCCTCTGACTTCTGCGAGCAGGCTGTGGCTTGCACATGTGCTCCCCTTTCCCCATATTAAAAAAAAGTACCTTAAATTCTCTTGAGATTTTGACCCATGCATAATTTAGATGTGCATTGTTGAACCTCAAGGTATCAGAAAGACATTCCCAACTGATTTCTAGTTTAGTTCAGTTTTTGGTTTAAGAGTTTATATTATGTCTGTTCATTACTTGCTGGGCTATGCTTTGAGGTTCAGAATGGCCTGTCATGGTAAACAGTTCATTGTCAGTTTAAGAAGATATATATTTACTTATTTTCTCTTTGTCTGTCTCTCCCTCTCCACTTTCTCTTGTTTTGGGTTTTGCATCTGTCATCTTTGGGCTTTGATAATCTTCCTGTAAAATTTCAGATTTGCAGTTGCCAAGATCTGGGCTCTGATGTGAGCATTCCTTTCCCTCCTCCCATCCAAACACCAAGCAGACCTGGCCCTGTTTGTCTTCCAAGATTAGACAACATTGGCCACATTCAGGATAGCATGGCCATATACTATCCTCTTCTCATCAAAGAGAGGAGACTTGAAGAGCTGGAACTGTCTGGTGATCATATTCTGGTTAAAAGTTTCCAGTAACACCTTGCTCTTGGGGACAAGCTTTAGTTTCAGAGACCAGGTTGGGGGCATACCTCAAAGTGCTGACCTTTCTCCTCCCTGCCAGAGCACAAGGAGAATTTTCTTCTGTTTTCTCTGTGTCTTAGTTTCTTTTCCTGTAACAACTTAGTGGAGAAAGGGTTTATTTTTTCTCACAGTTCAAGG